TTCCGACCCATAGCGACATTGTATAGAGTTCCTGAGGAGCAGCTGGTGAGTTTGAACTGCCGACATTGCGGTTTAAACTGACCTTGCAGTTGAGTGTTTATTCTATGGCATCACCCCAGGACTCCTTTTATCGCTAGAAGTTTAAAAACTGAATATGTGCATATATAGGTGAGATTGTCAAGCTTTTCCAAGTATGAATCCATTTCTTTTTTTTGTATCTTCTCAGAGTCTAGTGTTCAGGCTAGTTTATCTAAATCCTCTTATGAGTATGTGCCAGGTATTTCCCCATTCAAATCTCTGGATTGATTTTCTATCCTTAGGTCCAAACCTTTGCTTACAACAACAGCCTGTTGGTTATCCCAAAGTCACCATTTCACAGTTAAATTTATTATCAAATCTCCAGAACAGTTGGTATCACCCTAAACTTTCTCTTATCCTCAACATTCAGTAATGACCAAGTTATATAAATTTATCTTTCTTTTCTTATTTTCCAAAAAAAATTTTACTATGAATTGAGTGAAGATTTTCAGAGACAATCATAAGTTTTACATTCATCAAACCATACACTTTGTTTCATCTCAGTAATTTCAATCCCCTCCATGTAACAACAGTTTTCCCTCTTGCTCTCTGTGGTTCTTATTTCCACTCCACCCTCCTTCCTGTCCCTTCTCAACTTTGTCCTCAGGTAAATGTTGCCCTTTTGATTGTGAATAATTGACCATTCCATGGTGAGCAGACCTTACTAGTATTGTCCCCCCTATATACCGATCTACTGTTTGGTTGAAAATTGGACCTTGGGGTTGAGTTCTATTCCAGACCTGAAGAGTGTCGAAGGCTATAGTCACAGATTCCTCCAGTCTCTTTCTGACCAATAAGCCCAGTCCTTTTTATAATTTTGCATTTTTTTCTCCATTTTCTCCCACTCTTATCTGGTACCTTCTAATATGATTCCTTTCAGAGCAGTTGGTAGTGGTAACCAGGTACCATCTAATTCTTCCTGTCTCAGAGTCATGGAGACGGATGTTCACATGTTCCAGTGGTCCATTTGACTGGTTGATTCCAAGCCTCTTCAATTCTTATCACTCTTCTTTCTTTTACACATGAAGAGACCAATAGCTCCACCTTAGACAAGCACTCATACACTTTTAAGATCCCAGTACATCACCAAAGTGGTGGTGGTGGTGGTGACGGTGATGTGCATTGGAGTTGGTTCCAATTCATAGCGACCCTGTCCGGGGTTTCTGATGCTGTAAATCTTTATGGGAGCAGAACACCTCATCTTTCTCCCACAAAACAGCTGGTAGTTTCAAACTGCTGACCTTGAGGTTAGCAGCCCAATTTGTAACCACTACACTACCAGAGCTCCTGTCACCAAAGTAGGATGTAGAAAGAATATTGTCTT